ATATCTTTTTTTTTTAAACCTTCTCTGTTGTATTATGCAATGCCGTTTAGTACCAAGAGTGACAAACACTGCAACAATTTGCGCCGCTTTTTTATATTCGAGATGCGTTTGTACTCTTTGAAATGTGAGACCGTTGAATCGTATATTGTTACTCAGGGTGTAAGCGGGTGAGTCATAGTGAGTCAAGAAAACCCCGAAAATGAGTTTTGCAGATGACTCCCTGAAAAGGTGAATAACTAAGACTTGAAAGCCAAAAGATGTACCGTACTTGGTCACCTCAGCTAAATTCGTATGACAAAAAAAACTGGACAAATGCGTGCCGCATGATTTGAGCCACAAACAAAGATGTAGAAATGCTTGCTTCTCTTTTCTGCAACACTGATCCAACCCAATACTGGGCCGAATTGTGACTTGTGATGAGAATTGATCCTTTTGGTTACGTCAGGGTGTGGCTGTAAATAAACTGGGGGAACAACACCCTTAGAAAAATATACAGCTGCAAAAGCTTATCATATTTGGCTTGTGCTATTCGGAGGTCTGTTGCAAGTATTTTTCACTACAGCTTCACGACTTCTGGTTCGTTGGTCACGGGTGAAGTCTACTATCATTAATTGAAGAAGATAATGTAGAAACTCCACATTTAACAGCTAAAATTATTAACCGAATTTAAATTACCATGACGACGCTCGGCCTCGTGCCGTAAAAATCACGGAGGGAAAAATGCAGGAGTTAGCGCTGGCGGCTCTCATCCAGCATACTCGCTAAACATTGCTCCCATAGAGTGCAATTTTTTCGAGATTTCAACAATTTCATAATGTAAAAGTTATTCATATCTTAGCATAATGTCTAAATTGTCTCTCGAGAGTTCATATGTCCTCGTAAACCAGACTTATACAGCAGCGGGATAAATAAGTCACCATCTAAATAATAAAAGGCTATACACAAAATTGGTGCCTATTTCTATTGAAAATAACTAAGCGTGTAAAAAAATCTAGAAGTTAAAGTTCACTATGTTACGTTTCATACTGAAAAGTCTAATAGTACAAAAGGTACGGATGGTAAACTCGGGCTGTCCTGGTATATGCACGTTCATTCACGAATACGTCGATCAATTACAATTCCGATTCGTCGCTACAATCTAGCTGGAGATATCATATCCTTTACTATGTTTTAGAGAGAAAATAAAATTGACCACGTAAATCCCAACCATTTAGACAAGATCATAGCTTTATTTTTGATACAATAGAGATACATATTGGTTTGCATAAGGGAATCGCATTTATTCCTCCTCTTCGTTATGATCTCTGAGCCATGTCTTTAGTGGCAGAAGTGCGAATATTCAATGAAAACTATTTGACCACAGAAAAAGCCATGGTTTCAGCTTATCCGTTTACTGGCAGCTGCTACATCTCCACCGATTCACTGAGAACCGAATTTAAAAATCCCTCGTTAGAGCTGAAAGCATACAGAGTGGTCGGTAGCTGGAGTTTCTAACTTGATTCCTTTATTCTTTAGTACATTATATAAAAGGTGCATAAAGCTCAGTAAGCTTAGGGACGGTACCTAAGAGTAACAATTCATTGAGCTAAGCCCGGTATACGCATACTATATTTTGTGCTAATAAAGGAATATCAGTAAAATTTTGCTCGGAGATATTTTCCACATAATTTACGTTCCACATAATCTAATGGTTATAAAATGGTTCTTCGTTCTTTGTGTGGGCAATGAATAGCATTTGGTGATTGAATTCTCTTGATATAAGGAGATCTTTGTGACTAACCAGAATAATATGCTGGTTATTGTATTTCCAAATGTATGTAAAAATGAATACAGCATATAGTAATTTCCTGAAACAGAGTACACCAAAGGTCTAGTGCCATTTAAATTATGTAGTGCTTAACGCCCTTGTTAGTTAATATAAACCTAACTGCTATTAGCCCGTGGGTACAACTGAATTTATTTAAATCATATTTACAGACTGATTTTAAATGTTTTTATACTTTTCGTTTTCGCACAGGTTATGTAACATTTTTATCCTATATATCCACCCACAAACAGAATTAAACGATTAGGGCGCAAGTTGAAGTTTGGGTTTTCGCTGATACCGCTGACGGCGCAGCGGGCGCTGGCGCATTCTGACGCCACCAACAACACAGATTGTTGCACTATTTAGGGGTAGAGTAAGGCGGACAATAGCCGGGGGGCTTTTCAAGAGGTACGAAGGGGAAAGGTCTCTTTTAAAGTAATCGGGTACCATTAAGTCAAGCGGTCAAGTTCGGTGACAAAAACAAAGTATGCATGTGCGTATAGTTTATTTCACACACGTGGCTATCTCAAGTGAGCAGGCGAACAGCCGGCAAACCTCCGACGCTTAACTGGCAACGTACAAAGAAAAAAATGGAAGAAAAAAGCACAGAAGTACTTTTGGTTTTGAGGACTCAAAACTTCGCCACGCTAAGGATTCAAAACAATAAAAGGGTATAAAAGAGGCAACATTAGAGAGAACTAAAAAGACTGCAGCCATTCTAGACGCAGAAGAAAGCGAACACTTCAAACACCAGGCTTGCATTACAACCGGCCGATCGCAAGCAGAAAAGATGATTTCCTAATGGTTTACCCCAACCATCCACGAAGGACAGCAGAAGCGGTGACCTTAGACTGACTCTAAAACTCTATGAGTCATAGTTTTAGAAAAGGGTTATGTATGCAGAACAGCGACTATTCCGAAGGCAGACCCGGCGGCAAAGAGTGCAACATATGAACATGAAGTACAAAACTGCACAACAAAGAACGGATACTTCACGTGCAAGATTGGTGAGCCACATCGAACATAATGATCTACACATTACATTGGTAACACGTATAAGCTCAATAGTTAGAGAGATGCGGGATCTTAGTGGTTATTGATAAAATGAATGGTTGATGTACTTCAGATAAATCCCAATTAATACGGGAAGCATTCGAGCATTTAAAGAACAATATGATAAAGCAAGATTAGGCATAAGCCCTTTGACTCAACCGGAGCCAGAGTAACAACGGCGGACTGGCCAGCATGATTACAACAAAAAATCGGCCATTTGTTACAACCGTAGAAAGGCTGCCATCAAAGGGACTGACAGAGGTAGCGGTTTTTTTTAGATTACGATGGTGGGCGTGATATGATTATAACACTTCTAAATATATATATAATATCTCCTAATTCTGGAATTTTCAGTTAATCAATGATGGACATGAGCCCAGCATCTACACCAAAAGGTAGGGGATCTACCTAGATCTAATGGTCTGTAGGGATTGATCAGTAGAAAGGATTAGTTCAGTACTTAACAGCAGGACCGGACATAAAATCCGAAACATTCAACATTTAACAGTAGAAGAATTCAGGGGACGGAACGTCGCATTTGCGGTGGAGAGCCCCCATAATCACAGGAATGTAATCTATGCGGCTGGGTTAAGGGATCTTTGAAAAGCTACCCTGAATGAGGCTCCAATCAAAATGAGAAAGTGTAATCCTAAGAAGCTGAGCAAAGAAGTATTCAAGAACGCTCTCAGCAAGGTCTGCCTAGGCTTGAAAATGCCCGTGAACACGGGGGCATGATGTTTTGGTCACTTTCCGATCTGTGGAGACTTCAGCGGTTTAGCGATGAACTTAAGCCTAAGTTTTCGTAGACAAAAAATATAGCAGAGGCCAAACAAGCTTGTAACGTAGCCAGAAAGGGTTTGTATCAGGGCTAAGGGAAGCACAACTTGTTGAACTCCAAGAAGCTAAAATTTTTCTCGCGAAGATCAAGCAAAGAGCGACAGGAATTCATTGAAAAACTACGTAAACACCCAAATCAATTTATCAGAGAGATATTCGAAAAACTGTTTTCGGAATCCGAATGTCGAAGAATCCGAAAGCGATTGAGGTTTAGAGTAGCAGCGAGTCGATTCGGGAAGAGGTTGTGGAAACTGGTGAAAGAACAACGGTGGGGAAAGCAGCGCATAGAATACAATTAGAGGCTATCCAACGATTTATTAACCAATCTCCCACAAACCAAAAAAACCTTTCCGCAGATTGCCACTAAACTTTTGCAAAGAGGTAGCATTCTGAAAAAGTGGAAAGAGTCTAGTCCGGATGCTAAAGCCTAGCAAGTCTGCCCTTCAGTCAAGGTCATATAAGCAACCTCTTTACCCTGTGTAATGGTTAAGGCATTTGAAGCCTTGAAGGAGCTGTCTAACAAATTAAGAAGGGAGAAAAAAGGGAAAAGAAGTTTACAGAGAATTAGTTCTGGTATAGAAATAGTCGATCGGCATGCTTAGCCGGACAACTGGCAGTATGGCAGATCGGATAAACAGATATCAATTTGAATTAGCACCTAAGAAAACAGAAGTCATACTAGTATAGAGGAAAATAGTGTTAACATCAATCTGGAGGAGGTTACTCGCCTCAATGGGAAATCCCAATTGGGCAGTGTATCAGACGCTTACTTGAAACAAAGTCTAGGCAAAACATCCTCTAAACACCGTCCAGCAGAAGTGAGCACAGCAAGTGTCGCTGCCTGGAGATTGACACCGGAAATGTAAGAGTGGTACGAGAGCGACCTTAAAAAAGTGTTTGATTTAAACCCGCATTGTCACAAGTGCTTCCAAGTGTATTCATAGAATAGAAGCAAGAGCAAATTACTCATACATCACATGCAACGTTAGAGTGCACGACAATGCACACTTGAGGTAAGAGCGGAAGTTAGAGACTGTGATTTAAGACCGACGCCAAGGTAAACTGAATGCTTTAAGACGATAAATGCTCCGAGGAAATCTCTTAACATGTAAGGAACGTGCAGTTTAGAAAGAACAGTAACGAACAACATATAGCTAGAGAGCATAATCTCTCCTAGACCTATGTTGAATCAAAAACAAAGCACTTTATCCTCCCGGGAGTTGAAGTTCCTTACATTTTTTTCAATGCTTTCGGCAGTTTCGATCACAAAGGCAAATCTTCGGAATCACCTCTTTCCTATAATATCAAGGACTTGCTTTAACTAAAAAGTCTAGCTAGGGTGGGACTTACGTGCGGTTACTTTAATACAATTAACTCCTTATTAACAGAGGCATGGTAATCCTTTGTCAGCGCTAAAGTGTCAACTAGCGATGGCCACATGTTTATGATTATTATGGCAACCAACACGGAGATGCACATTAGCTATTCATACTACGTTAGAGTTGAAGTAGTAATAGGAAAAGCGCTTGTAGTATCTTAGGCTGTGGATTTGTTTATGTTATAGTACATTAAGATCGTTAATTTCTATAAAACGTTAAAGTCGGAATATGATAGATTTAAAACTTCAAAGAGTCATTAGATAAGTTTATGCTGTAACGAGTCATGCTATTACCTAACCAATCTTAACTGTCACTTCAACAACTAATAATTTATGTCAAATTGTGGCCAATATAAGGCCAATAGGTCTACGATAATACAAATTAACCGCCTTAAAAAAATATTATATATATACCTGCCATATTGCTTAATGTAGCAGGTTTCTCATTATGACTAGGTTTCTAATTATTGGCTAGGTGCCCTATTAAATTCTGCTCTGTCTTATTCTGTCCTTGGCACGGCAGTAAAGTAGTCGCTTAGCGACTGGCTTCAAGACTGTGTATTTTCGCATAAAGAAAAACAGGCCATCAATCTATTAATTTAAGACGAGCTGTCCATAACTCTACAGCGTGTAAGTTTGGCATATTGTAACCGACACAACTTTACGTTGTCATCTCTAATCGGTTTCATGAGGTTTGCATACAAAACCATAGGTATATTGTCGTATGCCGCACCTCGGTAATAGTACATTCCATAATACCCAGGTAACTGGACTACCTCCCGTAATGATTGCTGGAAATTTTAGTTATCTTTTTTTTTATAACTAAAATCGTTTTAGAAAAATATGAACAATATACAGGGCATTATATAAAGCCTATTTGTCGGTTAATAATAAAGTTGTAATTGTACATAATGCAAACACTTATACCTAGGCATAGAACAAGTAACAACTCCAGTTGCTCATCAATTGACTTTTACATCAGTTGTTGGCAGTTGCTTAAATTAACGTATCCTCTATCGCTTTATAGAGGTCGTAGGTGTTTTTTTCGAATAAGTTAATTCATGTCGAGTAGTAAAACGCCGAGTATTTTTAGCTTACTGGAGAAAGAATGCTAGTTTAACAAACATAGAATCTGCCTCAAGGAAGTAGCGTAACGAACTGACCACCTTCACGATTTTTCGTCCACCTGTAAACGCACATTTACCTTGTTCAACGACAACAACAACAGACGAGTTCCTTGAGAGAGAGAGAGGTGTTAGTGATCGATAATATAATCGCACGTCGCTGCGTTCATTAGAATCAGCCACGGGTTGTTATCAATATTCGTAACAAGATCTCTGAGCAGCTCCGTTTTCACTATGGCTGACTTCATGCTTAAAGAGGAAAACACTGGCCTGACGTTTATCTGGCCCGCACTTCATGCTTGGTCACAGATAAGTAACACCTGTGATAGAATGCTCGATTAATTTTTTTGGACTCCGTTCTACAAGTCCACTTGGCACACTTCACGCAGACGATTCCTGGTGGTCTGACAGGAGGCTGATGGGACTAATGAATTTTAGGAGAAGCTGAACTCATTTCAGCTTGGGTTAAGCAAAACAATTGAACGCTACCGAATTGAAGAGCGATTCTGACGGCACTAAGGCCGCGTTAGTGGTAGAAAGGTGTTGTGACTAGCAACAGTAAATACCATCCATTACTATATAGTTATTCTGTAGGGACCACGCTTGATGTATGTTATTGTCAAGATACAGAGCTTTCTTCTCTTCACGAGTTTCGAAGTTCTGCCATGGTTACGGCTCCTTTTCTCAGAAAGGAATTCGTCACAATTTAGAATAGTGGCTAGATAGGTTCCACCTATCAATATATTTATAGTCTTAAAGGTAAACGTTGAAACGTAAAATCAATCGGGTGTAACATTTTGGTGTTAAAAATGAAGTATATTATTAAAATATAATATATGTTGTTCTTCCAATGTTGTTCCAATGTTTTATCTCAATAAATAAAACATTTTGTAATTGTTTGAAAAATGGAACCTAATGGTACAAGCTTCCGATTTATTTCAGTTCATGATGTTTTAACTCTATGCTGCTGCTGATGCCTAAACTATTCAACAGCATAACAAATTCGTGATAAATGAGAACATTACTCCAAGTCTAAAATAGAGACAACTTCAGAGCTGAGAGAACTTAAGGAATAGTCGAGATTTTGTTCGGGGCAACTATGAGTAGATATCCAGCAACTACTAATGGATAGAAGCACTAATGGATAGAAGCTGCATTTGCTAACCAGAGGGTTCTCTCATCCGTTGGCAGGTTATCGGTAATGGAGCATTTAGGTAGAAAACATGCGGTTCATTTTTCCGAAATATAGCTAACTGACGTTCCATTTAAAAATGCATATGCGTATCTACAACAGAAACGTTCGAGCTAACTAGCGCCGCATATAAGGCTCATTGAACAAATTACAGGTTGTATAAATTTACACAGAGCTAGCTTGAGTACTCTAAAATTGAATAACAGCATTTTAAGTCCAATTATTTGTTCAACTGACTACCTAAACTGTATCTGGTGATCTGATAGTAGTTAGTAGTAGATGGTGCTATATATGTACATATACACTAAAGGGTTTGGTAACTAGTATTTCCTTTTATAACTGTTGCTCCTGTTTATAATAATAAATAATATAACATTTTGATTAGTGTGCCCTCGATATTCTTTTCTTAAGGCAAGACTAGAAATTGAGACTAGACGGAGGCAACTACACAGACGTACATGAAGAATGATCTGAATTGGAGAACTAGTTAAAATCATTACAACAGCTACTGCTATTGTAAATCAAAAAATGCAACCGAAAGATTAAATTATAGGTACATCTAACTTTATTGTAAAATTATGAGTCGTAGTCAACTACAAGAAAACTTAATTTCAGTAGGAACTACAATAATTATAATAGTAGCTGCACTACAATTTTTTTACATTGTAAATCCTATTTGTAGAGCCACTTCTCAGGACCGTTTCTGGAAAGACATTTGCTGAAAATCTGCTGTTAAGCAAATAGTCTTAAAAAATTTATTTTTATATTTGTGTGAACTTTTGATTTGTCGTAAGCTTTATTTTTTGTCATATTAATAATGCCTTCCTCCGTTACACCATGTTATAGTGAAATGTAAATTTTAACACGGTTTTGCAATTAGAGAGCAGTCGACCTTGATACCATACATCATAAGAATGACAAAACTGTGTATCTGGGTTTAATACATACTCCACATGTGGGTCTTCCTAATATAAGATAACCCGAGCGTACTGCCTAATTGTTGTCGTTATTGACATATAACAACGCAACGAGATACAGAGCTAGTTTCATATTTACTCTTTTGAGGTACAGCTATGCGTGTATCTGGCATAAATGCGGCCAAAAAAATGTAATGGAAACCCTCCCGTAACAGTGACATATATGTTGAGCCACTCTATTTGATTTACTGGCGACTGCAAGTACTTTTCTTGTGAAAAGCAATATTCTGGATGGGTGTTTAATATATGATGTCGTATTTAATAAATATTACTGATGAATGAGTGAAAAAATCATAAGTGTTGGGTGTAGGAAGAATAGGAAAGCAAGTTGTTTGACCTGAAACGCGCTTACATTGAGACTGAATACCGCTAGCCTTGTATAATAGTATAGGGATTCTCCTGATTTTTTTTGTATGTTTTTCTTGAAAATAATGGCTACATTTGCAACAGAGTAAAAACGTGGCGTATCTTACTTGGCTATTACAATCTCATAATTTTGGTGTCGATAAACCATTCTTTAGAGTCTTTTCCTTGCCAGCTGAAATTATACAAAACGTGTCTCATACGGCGATTCCCACTTATTCTTATTTTTACGTTTAACCTTTTTAAAAGTACATTCGGGTTAGATTCTTTTTCTATGAAAAAAAGAAACGTTTACCCGGGACTCCTTTACTGCGTATGAATGTCTAAAGGCTAACGCATTGTAGGCAACTAAACCGTTCATACATATTTATATTTAGTGGACACATGGCTCACAGCGTACCGAAGTTGCGGCGATCTAAGCGCAAAGTAGAGCAAAAGATAGGTAAATTATATAAGCTTCATATTACAAAATTTGAGAAATCGAATAAAAACTAACATCGGGACATCGAGTGCGTCTTCTCAGTAACTGCATACTTTGCAGGAAGCCCTACAAAACCTTAGCATCTTGGATGCAGCCAAGTGATTATCAGCAATTTATTTTATATTTTTAGGTAGCACGGTTTTGAACCTAAACAGAAGGCGTTCGTTGTCAGTATCCATATTCATGACTGTTTCCTGTTAGTTATCTATTTCCTCTCCAACCCGCGATGATGTCTATCATACATACTTGTAGTTGAAATTGCTCTAGATATATTATCTGCTGCAGGGTTATCCCGAAAAACATAATGGCAGCCTAGCTCGGGGAAACCCAATACATCAGGTTCATTTTTGAAGGAATGCAATGCTTAGTGCAACATCACATACAATATACAGACCGCTCTAGGGGTCGGAAAATAAAAAACCGCTTGTCGATCAACTTGGATTTCACTTTCAAAACAAACAAACCAGTGTAACAGAGGAAATATATCTGAGTTTTTCATTCTGTTTTCAATTTTAGATTTTGCAAAGAAAAATTGTTCCAAGCTTAAATATCAGTGCTGTTTCATTTACTAAAATTACTGTTAGACATATATATATATATCATTTGATTAGAATATACTTGTCTCAATGAGCTCAGATCAGAGCTAATGAAAACTTCAACGAAAAAGATACTTTAAACGTTTACGTCTCAATTGTATAGCAGAGGATATGGAGTGCCCACCAATATAACTGATGTATTGACAAAACTTGAGTAAATGGCTTTAGCTTAATTATTAGAGGCTATTAACGCACATTTTTCTCATCGTAAAGATACGGTCGTTTACCTAGCACCGTTAATAATAAAATAATCAGTTTTATTGTATATATTGGACTGACAGATTTTTATTGAAATCGACCCATTGCGCGTTAACTAAACATTACATTAAAGACTGCAAAAGTCACATTCTGTACTATTTCTTATTTGAACCGTTTACGATAAATTTAAATTTAAAAGTAGTGTTGCAGGTACGGTCGGCGAGTCTTCCTGCTCAGTGTAGTGTTTTTTTTTATGTGTTTCGTCGTGTATAATTTAGCCATGGCCTCATGGGTAGATAGGGCCATTACGAATAATTTTATTTAGGTACTCAGGCAAACACTTTCAGTTTGTTCACGATATGGAAACCGTGGTAGCATATAGATTAATAAGAATTATTTAATTGGGGGAGTCATAATAAACCAACCGAGATTTTACTAAACATTCTGCAATCTTTTAGTGTTACTGACATTTTTAGCTTTTTCTCTATAAAACATTTCCATGGCGCTGCGATACGGCAAGTTTTGTCATCATACAAGTCATCAGATTTCAATATTACAACGTCAAATATATTCGAATTAAATTTCTTAATCAACCCTAATTGTTGAAGAATTTAGTAAACGCGACACTTTTTGGTTGGTGATCCGTGCACGATCCATAGAAAAATCTTAGCAATTAAAGAAGCTTTTTTTAAGAAGAAAATGCACGAAGAAGAAAGAAAAGTTTAATTTATTTCGTTGTTCATTTTCTCGCAGCCTTTCCTATCGCATTTACCGTTATTTGACGTTCTATGAGCCTAGGGAAAATCGACTGAACTTTACTATGTAATAACTAGAGCTGTCTACATCACTTTATCAAACAGAAAACAAGAATCTGGCAGAGAGCATGTTCGACATTGGTCGTCCGATTTTTAGCCCGGGTATCTCGATTTGAATGCTTGTCCTATCTCTCTCGCGCGCGCGCGTTCTCGCCTGCATCCGTCTGATATCGGCCAGCGATTTCGTTACCCTTTCCCCCCATCATCAACATCATCCTCCTCGTGTTTCTCCGCTACTTCTGCTGCAGTTGCGTCTGCAGTAGCGGCGGCGGCAGCAGTGACGGCAGCGTCAGGGGTCGCGCTGATGGCTACGGTGGTTTAGGCGGTGGCGGCGGCGACGTTTACCCATTATTTGTTAGCTGGACGATCAGATTAGCGGAGGTGGCGAGAGGAATTGAGACGACGAGGAGGAGGGTCTGTTTTCGGAAGCGCCACCGCTACTGCTGTTATCTACATGCTACCACGGCAATGATGATCGCTACGAGCACTACAGGCAGCAGCAGTTCTCTGAACAGCGATGTTGTCGTCTGCTGCTACTCACGGCGGCCTACGACTACTCAAAGCGCAGCGGCAACGGCAACACGAAGAACAACAACAACACAGCTCCGATCATCGTCGTCGTTGTCGGAACGATGGTAGAGTAGAGGAGCAGCAAAGCTTCAGCGAAGGCTCAGTTCAGATTGTCCCCTCTATCTCCTTTTTTCTGTTCCTATACTTTGAAGCCTATTGATGCCGCTGCTCAAGAGCCACTGTTCTTATAGTAGTGTTTTTAGTTAGCCTGCAGCCGTCGTTTGAGCACCACGCACCGCAGAAGTAACAACAGCGCCCGCAGGTAGAAAAACAAGGCAGATACAGAGGGACCCGCAAAAAAGGAGGACAAACAGGCCATTCTCATCATCATCATCATCATCACTATAGAGATCTGAGATCTGTCTGACTGTGATGATAATTTTTTGCTTCTATCACCACCATTATGCCATGACGCGTCTTCGTTTTCTTTAGGTGCGGTGCAATCTGCAGGGCTGTGTGTGTATTATCGCCTATCCCCTTTTCTATCCAGGATCGCGACAGAAGTCATGCACGACTGTGTGCGTTTAGCATGTACATATACTTCGAGAGTAAACATTGCGAAATTTCGAAAACACTTATGCACAGACACGACAGACAGTCCGTGGCAATGTGTGTCTGTGTCTACTTGTTATAACTATGTAACAGATGCGGAGCGGTTTATGTCTCTCAATTACTTTCATGGGTATATCTGTGAACGGGCGCTTTCATTATTTTTACTAAGATCTTTATGTAATATGACGGCTTGACGTTTCATTCTGTTTGTTTGCGCTGTCTTCGCGTCAGAAGGCTGTATAGCGTTGTCATTGGTGGAAATCTACTTCAATGTTGTGTGATGAAGTGACTTATTCTGTACGGAATAATTTAAAGCCATAAATGGATGATTCGATCGCCGAGTGGTGCATAGTTGTTAGTTAGTTGATGTCGATACGATGTTATTACCACGTTCTCTTGCTCTACACAGTTGTGGCCAGCATTTCCTTGACGTTTTTTTCCTACTCTCAATCTTCGAACAGCTGCTGTTCCTGTGTGTAGCTCTGATTTCCACGGCCGCTGCGTGGAGTCTTCTACGGCGAGCGAAAATCGTTATTGATACTCGGGCTGCTACTAATATCGCGGTTAATGCTATGGATCGTATACGTTCGTAGCGTCCATCCGTCGCTGCAAAAAGAAGAGGCGGCGCGATGCTGCTGTTGGTGGCGACAGCAGCGGCGCCGGCCGCAAAATCAGCGCTTCTCACGGCGTCTTCGTTGTTGTTGCATCAATACAGAAACTAGAAATTGGGAAACACCGGCGCAGAAAGACGTTGGGGTATAGCGTTCTAATTGTGATAGACAGACGCTTTATTTGTAAACATGCTGTCTAGATATTGTTACTTTAGAGTTGAACCGACGTCCAACGTAAAAGGCAATGCGGTACATCTCGATCTGCCGACGTCTATGTCGCTGTCCTTTATCAATCGGTTTTTGTACATAACGGTGATGGTTGCATAAGTAACTGCACTCGCCGCCGCCACCTTGGTTGTCGTCGTCAAAATCGGCATCGATCGATATTTGTCTCTGAAGTCGCTGCTAAACGGTAGATTAAATTTGGTTTCGCCAAGCGAATCAGACAAAAGTTGTTGGTGGCGCCTTTTAATCGTAACATTATTATCATCGTCATTCTTATATTCATCATCTTTGCTGAAACTTGTTGGATTGACAACGCGATGCATCCTGCGTTTCATAAAAATTAAGAGAAGTAGCCACCAACGAGCGAATGATGAGAATGAGGGTGATGGTGTCTTTGGTTTCGCAGGACCAGCATTTTGAGCAGGGCGAAAACGTCGTAACTGTGGAAGTGTCGTTCGCTGGGTGATCTACGTAATTCCGATCGAATGAGCTCCTTCAGGTTGATTTTACGTTGAAGGCGATCAGTTGCCTTAACTAGGTTATAAAGACGAAATTATCGATGTTGGTGCCCATAATAACGAACTTAATCATGTTGGTGCCGATATATCAGCTATTTGCCCACTGGTTGTTGAAGCGACAAGAGAAATGCGATGCGATCTACTCAAGTTAGTGCTATCACCGGTGCTATCTCGGCTATATCGATAAAAGCTGAACGGGATTTAACAACGCGATAAAACTGCTGATTGTGCGATAGTTGATTTCTGCTGTTCGACACTCTTTTAAGATCGATTTAAGTGATAGAGCCTGTCGAAATCAACACAGAAGATCTGTAACAGCAGGCGAGATGTTTGCAACGACAGGAAATGTCTGTTACCTGAGAGATACAACACTGGCAACAGATCAGACGGTAAAACCGCGATAGATTGCTTACCACCTCGTTCTTGTATTATTCTATTTATGGAGTAGTTGGGATCGGATTGCTACTGTACAGATCATCTAAAATATGGCGCGCATTTCTTCCAGATGTAGCCGCTAATCTCACCTCCTTTTCGCGGCTACTTGCACATTCTATGGGTATATTTTTATATTGCGTAGTAGGCAGCGTTACGAGGTTCCTGTTGTGTTTCTTTTCCTCTTTTTATTTGTCTTCGGCCACCTTGGGAATACACGTTTCTCGCGGGACTATTTACGATTGGTAAGTGGCAAGTGCTCTGATTCGCGCAAGTGTTGAGTCAGCACGTGTCAAGACTCCACAATGGCATTCTAGCATCAGTTCAATGTAGTCGATAAAAGCGTGCAATATTGTGGTGTAACGGTTTGCCTGTCATGCAGTCGTCTAGGCTATATCGCTGCTACTTGATCTTTGTGCTATTGTGTGTCTATATGTGCTCTGTGAACTGTTAGATATTGAAATCTTCTGCCGAATCTACTAGCCCGATATTAAGTGGACTGTCAGTCAAATCGAACCTCGTCACGCACATACACACACACATATTGGATACGATGGCCGCAAAGATCTCCAAAAAAATACCTTCGCGGAACCCACTCTCAGCGTGTAAGTGAAGCCGATGGATTAGAGTGTAGGAGAGTGTTCTAGGCCTGAAGACAGTGTACTCCGTGTGCTCGTTGCGCATGTGTGTGTGCTGATTGTGGAGATTTATCTGCACCTTAAGAAAAAAGAAAAAGAGGGAGGGGAGCTGGGGGTGCCTCCAAGAGCCCAGCCGATCGACCGATCAACAGCGGCGGTAGAGGCAGCGATCGAAGAAGCAATCGGCGGACGACGGACTCCGTATGTCCACCAGTCGACCTGCGTGTAGGCCTGTGGACCTGTTTGTCTGATGGAGGGACGGACCACCTTAACTAGCGACGACTATTTTGCTCCCAAGAACAGCTCCTCCTCCTCCTCCTTGAGAAAACGGCAAATTCCATTGGTACCTCTGAACGACTTTTTAGCCATCGTGGCTAAATCGGACAACTGTAGGTGTTGTTCAGCGAGGCTATGAGATGTGCCATGCCATATATTTCAATATCTATATATCCACTACTCCAATAAAGATGAATCTGCCGACATGTGATGGTATGATGACGTAACTGCTAATGGCTACTCCGATGTTTGTTGCCTGCGTCCTATGGAGTTCATGTTGCTGCTGCTGCTGTTGTGGCATTAACTGCATCGTCGTCTACCCTGTGGGGAGGTTAAACACAAAAAACGCCTGTTGTATCCCTTGTGTTTAGGCGGTGTTTCTTCATCTCCTATGGATAACTCTGTGATCGTGTGTGATTTTATGAAAAAGAAAGTGTTGTCCGTCATTAGGCAACAAAATTGAACGCAAGGATATGCTCGTAAATAGCTAAAAATATCTTGTCGGAAAGATTCATCGGTTTTCGTCATCGCTACTTGCATTTTATGGTTTGTGTAATATTGTTGAAACCTTCAGCTGGACATCCCTTCGTATCATCCGGTTCGCCCGACTGGCCATTCTCAGAAATGTAAGAGTCTCATATTATTACTACTAGTATAATTATTGTTGTTATTCTTTAAAGTAAATAATGCTGTAGTCAATGCCATCAAGGTCTATAATAGTCGAGATAACTAGCCTTTTTCTTTTTCTGTGTCATTATCTATATACCTTGAATATAAAACAGGCGCCGCATAAGTTGTTTGTGTATCATACCTCAGACGCAGACGTGCGTCGCAAGGATTTAGCACACACAGTAAAATCCAATGATCAAAACAAGGATCCTTTTTTATTTGTTGAGTCATTGAAAGCAGAGGAGTTGTGATAAAAATAATAATTTCTACTAATAAGTTTCTATTAATGTAATGTTCATCAAGTGATCATTTCTACAGGTTAAGTTAAATACTAATTGAAAATCGTCTATACGTTGCTGTGCAAGTGTGATAATAAGAGCCATTCTGGGGGCAATGAAAGAAAATCCATTGTACGTTATACTCCATGTGTTTCATTTCGCACAGCGTTATACAGCGATAATAGTGATTGCGCACATATTTTCTTATAATTGTCTGGCTTATTATTTCTCTAATGGTTGCTGAAAATCTATTTCCATGAATTTAGCTCTACGACAAAGCCCTTGCTTCTGCAGCCGTTGCCGTTGATGTTATTGTTGTAATCTACCGATCCAGTAATTAGCTAGTACCGCCATTACGAAGAACTATAACGGTATTATCAATACGGACGATAGCAACCATTATGAGATGATTAAATTAAATGTTTACATATTTGGAGGTGTATAGTTAACTGAATTAAATAGTTTTATTTGTACCAAAGGATATCTCATTTGTGATGCCTAAAAGTTGTTCGCTGTATATGTTTATAAATGAGACGTGGCCGAACATTACATGGTGCCTCACAGGGTCGTTCATTATTAGGTGTGTGTGACTAATCTGACCTGCTTATAGCGCAGCAGTACGGCGTTTTCTCACTGGTCACTCAGAAGCAGAAGTGTCTGCTCTCCTCAACAAATGCCTACTGCAATAGCTGAACGCCTTTAAGGCCCAGTTAGAAGTCACACAGCCAAGAGAAATGTGTTATATTGTAGTAATGATGATAGTGTATTTTTTATTAGTATATTTGAGGAGTTCTAGATCCACTTTTAATGTTAATCTCTCAACTTCAGGGCCTGCTCTTGTTTCTATTGTTTAATGGTATAAATGTTAAGCATGACTATACCGTGATGTCACAGACTAAAAGTACTTTATAGAATACTAGTCGATATGGGTGTCATTTCGGTTTGATGCCATTCGTGGAATCGTGTTCACAAACCAATAATCGTTCCGTTGTCAATGTGTCATACTGGAATATTATGCGCAGCCATACAGGCACTGTCTCTGTGAGACACACACAATCACAAGCAGCCTTTGCGCTTTTGTAGAAACAGCGGCTCAAAACAAAACATGCAGATGGCCTTATAAAATATCGTCTAGTGGGCGTGTTCAAATTGTGGCCCGAGCAATTTTATTATAGCCTTTTTGGAAGAATTCGAAGTTGTCTGTGTATTTTGTACAAACTCAGTTTTTTCTCCGGCTACTAATAACGGAGTTAACACAACAAATGTATTTCTCATGTTGTTTTGTTTCCCGATAAGTCAAGTTCTTTTTTCTGCTCGTTGTTAATAGTTGTATGTGTGGCACCGTGAAGCTAGCGTGAACTCAAGGACAAGTTCGTCGTGAATTTTTTCATAAAGCTACTAGTAAACAGTACTGCAGTGGTTCACAAACATTTTGTATATTTGGCTGTACTAAATCATTATGAAGTTTCAAAAACTAGATTAATTTAAAAACCGTGTAAGCTAGAACAACGACCTTTTATTGCATCTTAGATGTTCTCTTCCTTGTTGTTTACCTATGTGATTTGCGTTACTATCTCGTTATTGATGGTGATATACATTACGCCACTTATCGCCCCCTTTAGGGCGTAGCAGTAATCAAAGTCACAGGGATCTGAACTGCCAAGGAAAGGGAAATAAAGGCATTTTTCATTTCTGTTCGCGACTCCGTTCATGGTCAACGTATGGGAATGGAATCGTGTGTTGTTACTGAGTGTGCATGCTGTCATGTCAGACGTTCAAAGGGCTTTTTGCAAATTCAAAATATCTGGAGGCAGCATTGACCGTTTCCTTTTCAGGAAATATTTCATAAAAACAAATGCTTCTGGTATTCATTGTAAGTACAACCATTCGTTTTCGCCTGAATTGATGTATTGGGCGCAGCCATCGAAACAGAGCTTTTCTCCGTTCGACGTCATTCGCTCGCCGGATTCTTCTCTACGGACAACCTAGCCTAGTCTATGTCTAGGTTACGTGTGGCCCCACTGTGCTCCAGACGCGTTTTTGCTGGTAACAGCTGTCCAAATTGTCTACGGCGTGCACTACCCGGATCCTTTCATCTGTTAACGGAGTGCAGTTTGAATGTTATTCACTTTTTCGTCCCGCTATATTCCTTCAGACAAGCTAATGTTATGCAATGTTCGTCTTATCAGTGTTGATAATGGTATGTTATCCGTAAACTACCGGTGCCTGGGTAAGCGTTCGATAATTAACTACTTAACCATTCTTATCTGTAGTCATCTGCTCCGGATTCGTTATCGCAGCCAACGTATAAAAAAAGATTGTCAGAGGGATCAAAGAAGTGCGACTTTTTCGTAGAATTATGAAAGGATCTGGGTATTTCTTTATCACCAAAGTTCTTCTATGAATTTATAGCTTGATTGAAAGGCACACACTTGTTTTCTGTTCAAGAGAGTATAGGCCATGTGAATGCGCATGGTTCGTCGAGCGAACAGCAGCTGCTTATGCGTCATTTCTATAGCAAACGACTAGCAGCGACCTCTGGCTATAGTTTCCTGATCAATGCCTTCAGAGGTCCTTTGTTCACAATATACCGAAATGTTTTCTGTCTAGTTACTCTTAATTTTTGTGTTGAATCGTAGAAACTGTTCTTTTTCAGTCGTAATGAAAAGGAGCTAGCGACAAACTGCTGAGTCGAAACGCAGAACAATTCGACCATTCGCATGAGTTTTATAATAATTCATCGATTTATATTAGCTCAGCCCGCCATAGTCTTTTCAGCCGTAACCTTCATTATAATATATTGTATATTTTAAACATATGCTGAGAGCTTTCCTTTATTCTTCTTCGGTTTTCTCTTAATACTCTTTTGACTAGTTGTAGTATTAACTATATGATTTATAGTAGCTGCATAAAACAGAAACGTCTTATTGACTTGTGCTCAGTTTTAATCAACGTGATGAGGCCGGATCATTAAACAATGTTCTATACTATGTGGCGTCTACTCTTCATAACCTCTCTCAAACTTTTCCCACGCAGGTTTATTTACGATATTTATTTAGTTATTTCTTCATTACTTTTTCATCGTATTTCTTCGTATTAAACTGTTCTTTTCATCTGTCTGATTCAGTTTAAGAGCTAGTCAACTTTGCTAAGATCTAGCTACTGTAGGGCGCGTAAGAAATTGCTGGACACTTCCAATGTTCTCGGTATGAATAACAAAAACGAGTTCTGTTCTTACGTCTGGTTATCTTAGAGAGCTTAATTTGCATTACCATGCCCACCAACTGTCCTCTTAGAAATCGCTTGCATAACTCGATCTTTCTTTGCGCCCTGCTTAGTTTAAGGCCGACTTCACCAACCACTTCATAAATACTGTGCTTCAGGTCGTCAATTGTTTTCGTTTTATAAATTTTGTCGTTCACATAGCCCCATAGAGAAACATTGAAAGGAGTCCAAGCATCTAGGCGGCGATTAGGAACATGATGTCAAGCGGATTGATTGCTTCCCGCGCTCTAATGTTGGTCGAATTTCTTAATCAATTGCCTCAGTGTTTTCCACGCCACCAAGAAGTGTCGTTCGTATTCTGCGTGACACTTGTAGATAGTCATCGTAACCAACTTCCCATTTCAATAGTAGGTTGTTACGAAAAGCAAACGCTGCTGTATTTATCATTCAACGATCTCTTAGCCTTTGTTTATTTACGGATGTATGGGGGCGAGACGAAATTGGCCGGCAACTTCTTATGCACCCCATACTTAATAGAATACTACGTTGGGTAGTTGTTTGACGTCGCACCGTTTTAGCAGTTACGTTTAAATTTACGCAGTTATTATAAGATAGCATATCTATTGGTTTCTACACAATAGATTAATGGAAAAGGTACAGTACTTATAATTTGTCCTTGTCAATTCAAAAACTGACCTTCGTATGGATTTCGCCGTACACCAGGAAACGCTTTTACTACTGCCGTTGCCACATCAATTATTGATGCGGATGTAGTTCGTTGCCATTTTTAACGCTGCTACCTGCACTCTGTGTTTCCTTTCTAGCTCGCTATCTTTGATACCCACCTATAGTGTGTTCTTTACCATACCGTGGAGCGAATCTGACGTTCTTCAAAAAAACATAGCACCGCGAAACAGTGATGTCGATACTTTTAATGAAAAGCGCGCCCACTGGCAGTGGCCTCGTAATTTGGCCGCGCAGCACAAGCAACAACGTCAATGACTGTTGTATCCATTGGCTCACTTCAGCATTATATTTCATTGATTGATTCATTCATTCAACTCTATCGACGTTCGAGTCGGCGGCAACAACAGCTACTACTATTAGCCAAAAGAACAGTGTCCTGCTAAAAAGAAGCAAATGAACAACTCAGCCCTATTGGATCGCTGTTACTCGGAACTAGGGACTGAGCGGTAATGACAGCGGACATAGGACAAAAAGAATTTTACTGCTAAGCTAAAAGTTATTATAAGCTACTGCTGGTTTATATGTGCCATCTCGAAAGTTTCTGTACGGCATAAAAAGCGCGCAGGGGTACGCCACCGTGACATTTTCGGAAAGTGTACAACTGCGTTTTCACACCGAAACCGAATTTTTAGAATACTCCATAAATTGCGAAACAAAACGGCTTCAAAAAAGCAACTAATAGACCCACGCGCACATATGTCTACGTT